CAAAAAAGCGCATGGCCGTACGGATCCGTCCGGTGCGCGTCGTCAATGATTTTTTATTGATTTACTAATACCGTTATGTTTCCAATTCTTAGAATACTTTCCTTTGGATTTGGCTTCATTAACGTAAATGAGAACTGCAGGTTGCAGAATAGCGGAGAGACGTGTTAAATTTGGCTTCACATCATTCACTTTGAGCAGTACTCTGAATTAAGCTGAATAATGTCGAGTATTTTGTTCAATTCAGAACGACCATGATGTAATGAATTGGAATGTGCGGGCTATGAATTATTTAATTCGTAATGGTGCGTTTCTGATTTGTGTAAAAACTTGTAGGTAGCAAATAGTGACGACATTCTGTTGACAATGCTGCACCACTGAACCTACTACTAGCGTACGTTACGGGGCTATTGTTGTGGAAAATGGAATTATTTCGCAAAAAAATATGGTCCCTTTCAAATATTCCGGTCCCTTAACTGCTTTTTATTTAGTACACAGGTTTATAGGCTATGCTTCTTTCGCACAATATAAAGGGGGACAATTTTCGCTTCAAAGTGCCGAGCAGAAGGCTTTTGCAGCAGCTTCATTATGTTCATTCAACTCGCTTTCTTCGTTGCCGTCTGCTTCATCAAAACGTTCGGTATGGTTTTCAGTTCTTTCCGAAAGGAACAGTTTTTTTTCAGATTTTCGATTATTCAAGGAAATGAATGTCTGTCTGGACGTTTCTGCGCTTTTTCAATTCAGCTGAAGGAAAATCAAATTCAGCTAGAGGGTGCTGAGCTTACTGCAGAATGATTAATTGAGTTATTTCGGCGAACACTTAATTAAAAAATAAAAAAAAAATAAAACAAGTTGATGACAAATTATTTCGGTGTGCTTTTACCAATTCCGGGCTAGAGCTCTGCGACTAATAAGTAGTGAAAAAAACTGCGACTCACAAGCAGCTAAAACTTGTAAGTAGTAAAATCTGATCAGAAGATTATAACTCTGTCTTTCACGTAATTTGCCTGTCAAAGCTGGCACGGTTTCCATCGAAACTTTTTAAAATTCAGATTAACTTGCTAACAAAAATTTGCTCTGAAAGTCAAAGTAATCCATGATCGTGTAGCCCTTATGAAATATCCGTATCCGGACTATTTGGATGGAGCATCGAAGAAAGCGTTGGAATCGTTTGACATGATCAGAATGAACAAAACTGCCACAAAAGCGCAAAAGCAAATGATGCTCGACGAATGGGCCAAAATGCAAGGCAACGACACTGTTTTGGTAATAATTTTTTGGATCCTGCATGAATGAAATATTTACTATGCATCTGCAGTAGTAGATAAAAATGCAGAAAAATTCAAAATACGACTGCAGCAAAAATCGAGTGTCTCGGCAAGGGCGAAAGCCAGGATTTTCTCCTTCAGCAGGTTAGCAGAAAAACACCAGTGAAAGAAATCCTCACATCATTTTTTAAAAGGTTTACTAGCGGTATGCAACGTATAATACTTGCTGCATGTAAATTAACATTTTTCGAACAATATTAACATAAAAGAATCAAACTTATTCACTAATGAAATAATTACGCATCCGTTTACTCTTTTTAACCACAGTGATCTTAAGCTGCGACTAATGCAAAAATTTGACCTATCCACTACAGTGTAGTAGAAACTGTACTAAAACAAGCATTATATCTTGCCCAAAATTTAACTACATATTTAATATAGCCGGGATACTTTTTGTTATGGTCGTATTTTGATTTTTCGCCATTTTTATTGCTGCTGCTGGATGCTCTGAGAGTTCCAGTTACTGCAACCGATGCACACATAAGAAATTCAGTTTATTCTGTTTTCGTACATTCTTAAAATTTAGGCAGGCTACATGGAGAGCAAAGATGAAATGATGAAAATGGGCCAGGAAACAATGACAAAAATTGAAAATTCAAAACTAAGTGATGAGGCGAAAATGGCGGCAGTCAGGATAGCCAAATTGGAGATGCAACAGGATCTCACCGATGAGGAGATGTCGGCTAAATATTTGCGAATTTTGCAAAGCTTAAAACCGGAAGTGCGCAAAGAACTCCGTATGTTCATGGACATGCAGCAGATGGATATGGTGCACAAGATGATGGCGGCGATGGATAGTACAAATCGGATGAACATGATGATGATGATGACGACGATGACCACCATGTCCTAATTTTACGTTGTAGGGATAAACGATGACCGCCTTTTTTGTTCCACCATAAAAATTAATGACATGTAAAAATGCTTTCTGGCTTGTAGAAAAACGCATAATTCAAAGGTCTCGAAGAATTAATCCAATTTACGCCGTTAAGATAGGATCTTCTAGCAACTGGAGCAGTGCAATTACATCAGTTTCATTCTAGCACTTCCAAGCAATTTAAAAAAGGTTGCACCGCATTTTGTTCTGTCTGATCCGCGCGCTAAAAATAAGCGCCTGCATAGCTATACCGGCCAACTCGCTTATGCGCAAGACACTACTGCAAAGAAAAACGAGAAAATAAAGAAAGTAAACATCCACGAATTGTTGGTCAAGAAGCTGCCAAAAAGAAAAAGATGGAAACTGCCTGTGGGAGGCAGAAAAGAAAAGAAATCCTGCCTTGAAAGGTAGATACACGGTAGTTGTGCTGGTAGGTCTAACCAGGAGCAAAAGGAACGGTGGTGCAGTGGGAGCACGTTGCGCCCGGATGTGCCAGAACAATTTTCGAGAAAGGGCTCCGTTTGCGCCAGAAGCCTAGAAATGAGTGAAGTACAGGTTTGGATATTTGAAATTGTTGAGCACGACAAAG